TCTTGACCTCGTGATCCACCCGCCTCGGCCTCCCAAAGTGCTGGGATTACAGGCTTGAGCCACCGCGCCCAGCCGCCCGGCTAATTTTTTTATATTTTTAGTAGAGATGGGGTTTCACCATGTTGGCCAGGCTGGTCTCCAACTCCTGACCTCAGGTCATCTGCCCACCTCAGTCTCCCAAAGTGCTGGGATTACAGGTGTGAGCCACCACACCCGGAGGATTTAATCTATTTTTGAAGCTTTTAAATATGTATATTTCATTCAGTGAATTCAACAGTTCCAAAATTTGGTGGGTTTTCTTTTTTCGTGATTTTTATGTTTTCAGTAAATTTCTCATTATTTTCTTGTGTTTGTTGTGTGCTCTTTTAGCTCACTGAGCTTCTTTAATATCATTATTTTGAATTCTTTTTCTAGGATTTCATAAATTTCTTTTTCATTGCTGGAGAATTATTGTGTGCCTTTGAAGGTGTCATTATTTCCTTGCTTTTTCATGTTTGTTTCATCCTTACATTGTTCTTAGCACATCTGGTCTAACAGTCACTTCTTTTTTTTTTTTTTTTTTTTTTTTTGGATGTGCTTTCATAGTGGAGGACTTTTTCCTGAAGACGTAGATGTGGTGTTGGTTGGGTAGGGCACTTTGGCTTTGATTCTGGGTGTGCAATAGCGTAGTTTCTGTATGGTATTTTTGTTGTTGTTGTTGTAAACAGTGTCAGTGATTTTCTCAGTGGCATTGGGTCCATTTAGTAGAGGCTGTGAAGTTTTGATGTGGATGGGGACACGGGTAGGCCAGTCCTCAGTTCTCAGTGATGGCAGGAGTAGGCTGAGCATGCCTGTCCTTGGGCTCCTGGGTGGGGTATGCTGTCACTGGTATGTTAGCAGGCTCATGTTTGGGCCTCCAGTTGGCTTGCTTGGGTGCTGGGTAGTGACAGTGGTGGGTTGAGCAGGTAGGCAGTTTGTCCGGCCACTGGATAGTCAGCATAACATAAGCCAAGACAGTAGCAGTAGTGGGACAGTTCTTTGGTTCCCAAGTGGTCTATGCTAGTGTTGGCAGTGGCTGTGACCGGCTGGGAGGGCCAGTCCCCAGGCTCACAGGGTGGCATATATAGGTGGGTGCCATCTGTGATGGTAGTGGCAAGTTGGGTGGGCCTGACCTCAGGATCCTGGGAGGAGTGCTCAGGTGTCAATGGTGGTGGCCTGAGCTGGGCAATCCCCAGGGCCCCTGACAATGTGTTCAGTGACTAGGGGGTGCAGAGCCAGTCTAGGCGAACCTGTCCCCAAGCTGCCTGGTGGTGCATGGAGGTGCTGGCTCTCAAAATGGTACCTTGCTGTAGCTGCTTAGAACTTAGGGTATGTGAGACTCAGCCTTAGCTTCCTTTCTGGAGCAATACCATCACATGGTATTCAAGAAGCTCCCTATGTTAGTCTCAAGGTCCACAGGGATTGAGGGGGTCTCTTCTGTGGTTAGGATTGTAGGAGTCTGCAATGGAAATGTGGACTGCTGGGGGTCTATCCCTTACCCTTTCCCTTCTTTGGGGAGTCTCTACAGGCTTCCAGCCAATCCCAACTGAGCAGGCCGCCTCAGTTCCCTCTCCTTCCTTGTTTTAGGTGTTTCCTGTCACTTCTCTGTTGAATTTTAGTGTCCTCTTTTAGATAATCTATTCAAACATTATCTATTCATTATTTTGGTTCTTTATGGAGAAAGTGAGTACCAGATGCCTCTAGTCAGCCACCTTGAAGATTGTTGGGTCTTGCTTCTTTATTCAATCTGATGTCTGTCTTTTAATTGGGGATTAGTTTACATTTTAATGTTATTATATACTGCATTGAGTAATTGAATTTAAACTCACCATTTTGCTATTTTCTACTTGTCCCATTTTCTTTTTTCCCACCTTCTTTTGGATTATTTTCTTGACTTTTATCTCCATTATTGGCTTATTAGTTATAGCTCTTTATTTTAAAAAAAGGTTTCAGTGACCTCTCCAGGTTTTACAGTATGCATGTTCTACTTATACCATAAAACTTCAAATGGTATATCACTTCATGTATACTTAGAATAACTTTACAGCAATATACTTCCAATTTCTCTTGCATCTTCATGCCATTTTCATACACGTTACTTTTATGTGTGTAATAACCTCCAGAATACAGTGGTAATATATTTGCTTTAGACTAAATTCTTTAACCCAAAAAAATCTTTTATTTTTATTTTTGAATAATTTCTGGTGTGGGTTGCTTTAAAAATATGTCCATAATTTATTTGATACTCCTACCTTAGAAGTATGTATGTATCCAAGTTTCTATCTGGTATCATACTTCTGTCTGGAGAACTTCCTTTATATCAGGTCTGCTGCAATGAATTCTCTCAGCTTTTGTCTGTCTAAAAAGGTCTTTATTTCACCTTTTATTTTTCAAAGATTTATTCACAGAATACAGAATTGGGGATTATTTCTTTAAAGATGTCACTGTTGTTTTGATGAGTACTATGCTATAATTCTTGTATTTGGGCAGGTATGGTGGCTCACACCTGTAATCCTAGCACTTTGGGAGGCAGAGGCGGGCAGATCATGATGTCAGGAGTTCAAGACCAGCCTGACCAACATGGTGAAACCCCGTGTCTACTAAAAATACAAAAATTAGCTGGGCATGGTGGTGCGCGCCTGTAATCCCAGCTATTCAGGAGGCTGAGGCAGGAGAATCACTTGAACCCAGGAGGCAGAGGTTGTTTCAGTAAGCCGAGATGCTCCACTGCACTCTAGCTCGGGTGACAGAGCGAGACTCTGTCTCAAAAAAAAAAAAAAAAAAAATTCTTATCTTTGTTCTTCTGAGTGTGTTTCCTTTTTCCTCTGGCTGCTTTAATTGGTTTTGATATTTATCCTGTTTGGGGTTTTCTAAACTGGTTGGATCTGTGGTTTGATGTTTTGTTACTATTTCTGAAAAATTCTTTGCCATTATCTCCTAAAATATTATTTCCTGTTTCCTCTTCTCTTTCCAGGACTTCTATTACACTTATGTTAGACTGCTTGTTATTATTCCATAGCTCCTGAACACTGTTTTTATTAGTTTTTTGTTGTTGTTTTAGTGGCAGAGTTTCACTCTCGTCTCTCAGGCTGGAGTGCAATGGCAAGATCTCTGCTCAGTACAACCTCCACTTCTTGGGTTCAAGTGATTCTCCTGCTTTAGCCTCCTGAGTAACTGGGAGTATAGGCATGCACCACCACACCTGGCTAATTTTTGTATTTTTAGTAGAGATGGGGTTTCAAATGTTGGTCAGGCTGGTCTTGAACTCGAGACAGGGTTTTGTCATGTTGGCCAGGCTGGTCTCAAACTCCTGACCTCCCACCTCAGCCTCCCAAAGTGCTGGGATTACAGGTATGAGCCACTGCACCTGGTCCTTTTATTTATTTATTTATTTTTGTCATTTTTTTTCTGTGTTTCACAATGACTTTTTAAATATATCTTCCAATATACTGACTCTTTCCTCAGCTATCTCCATTCTACTAATGAACCTGTTGAACGGATTTTCATCTCTGATATGCTTTTTAGTTCTAGCATTTCCATTTATCCTTTTATAGCTTTCATCTCTGCTAAAATACCCTTCATCAGTGTATGTTGTCCACCTATTTCATTATATCCTTCAACATAGTAATGTTAGTCCTTGACTGACAAATAGCTGAGTCACCTCCAAGTCTTGTTCTGTTAATTGCTTTATCTCTTGACAAGGTGTTTTTCTTCACTTTTTTTCTTTCCTGAGGCTTCTAATATTGAATTTCATTTATTGTGTGTAGAAAAAAACAAAGTGAGGTGAACAGTATTTATGTCTTGTTATAAATATATGCCTGTTAGGCTGGTATGGGAAGTTGAGTCAGTATTGTAAGAAGTTGAGTTAATGTTTTCTTACCGTTGTCTGCAGCACATCACAGATTTCAAATTCCTCTAGCAGTGAGCTGCTCCTATGTGTTTAAAGGAATGCCAGAGGGTATTTTTCTCAACGTTCCAGCTCCCTCTCCACCTTCCAGCTGTCTCTGTATGCCTTTGATCTCAAGATGTTCTCTCTCCATGCTCCTGCCCCTCCCCCAGAGGCAAACTGCATTTTCTTGTTAGTCTATGCTAGGCTTATGGTACAGACAATAAGGAATCTTTGTTGTCTTAGCCTAACCTCAGTCTTAGGCAGGCTTTGCACACCTGGCCTCAGAATTGGGTCCTTCTTAGCATTCCTATCCCTGCCCCTCATGTATTTATGATTGGTCTTCAGCAGGAATTTCCTACTCCTCTCCCAGTAGTAGTATCAGTGGAGGATGCTAGGTGCCAAATTATTTTCTGTCTCTCTCCTCTTAATTAAGATTTGTGCTTCTACATTTTCTCCAGAAATGAAAGATCTTTGTCTTTTTCCTTCCTTCTGAGGCAGGGAGGTTTTGCTTCTATTCCTCCCATAAAAGCATTTTCTGCCGAGAAAATGTTTCTTAACTTTCCATCAGTGGCTTAAGGCTTTTGTTAATAGCAGGAAAGTATCCAGGAAAACAGGTGGGTTTTTGTGCTTATCCCCACCTCAGGGGCAGCTATACTATATATTGTTCCTTTCCAGGTGGGATCTCAACAGCTTCCTGCTATGTATCTTGATGGAGTCTATTCCTAATAAAGATGCTGTGAACACTGTTGAAATAACAACTAATTATTTAGAATAATACATAAATGTAGCCAGTAAAGTAGTGGTAGGATTTGAGAGGACTGAATCCTATTTTGAAAAAGTTCTTCTATGGGTAAAATGCTATCAAACAGCATCAGATGCTTTTGCGAAAGGAAGAATCAGTTGATGCAGCAAACATCACTGTTGTCTTAAAAAACTGCACAGCCACTCCAACCTTCAGGGGTCACCACCCTGATCAGTTAACAACTATCAACATTGAGGCAGCATCCTCCATGAGCAAAAAGACGGCTCACTGCAGGTTCAGATAATTGTTAGCATCTTGTAGCAATACATTATTTGTAAGTTAAAGTATCTTTTTGACATGCTATTATATGCTTAATAGACTATAGCATAGTGTAAGCATCACTTTATTTTTTTTATTTTTTGAGGGTTTTGTTCTAGGGTCCAGACTGGAATGCAGTGGTGCCATCTCAGCTCACTGCAACCTCTGCCTCCTGGGTTCGAGTGATCCTCCTGCCTCAGCCTCCTGAAAAGCTGGGATTATAGGCGTGCACAGTCATGCCTAATTTTTTTTTTTTTTTTT